GAGAGAGAATCACGAGACCTGGTCATCTAACCTACCTCTGCAAAAGCAATGCTGCCCCAGTTGTAAGGCATGGCTAAAAGTGCCCCGTTCAGCAACAAGTGTATGAGGCTAAGCTTGGTCATGGTGACCGCTGTATAGAATGAAAGAAATCGGGATGGATTCGAGCCGCTCTGCTTCCTTGTTGAAAGTGGCCGGATGAACTCGAAGCTTGAAGCAGATAGAAGACCCGAAAGCAATAGCCGGCATAGCATCTTTTTGTTGAGGGAGTGGCTTTTGGACTTCGCCATTCACGACTCTATAACCGACTTAAACATGTTACGTCCCTGTTGGCTGTGGCATGGTGGATGCTGACTTCTCATAACACAGTAGAGGCGTTGGAGCAAGCTAACGCCAACACAGTTGGGGGCCTGTCCAAGCTTCACAAAAACGTATGCAGAGAACCATCAGCGCTATGGTGGATCAGAGACTTGTTTGAGACCACCTCTTATGGCTTTCGCTCTCCTCTCTCAGTTTCCCCATCCACTCGGCAGAAGGTAATGAATGCTCGAGCTGGTATCTTATTCATTCACATGACACTGTGCTCTATTAGTGTGATTGACACTTTAGGATTTTGAGCTGCGAGCGATTCATCCACAAGCCCCCTGTGCGAGTTTAGACTGGTACGTACAATAAGATAAACGATAGACCGTCGGGCTCCCATGCAAATGCATTTTTATCCACAGAAGCAAACAAGATCCCGTGAATAGCTGTTTATGTCAAGGCACGATCGACCGCAGCGAGTACAGCGCGGTTATCAGAACCAAAGGGTAGTTGAAGGCGTGACCAATAACCGTCTCAGGCTAGGCATACCACACCATCACCCCTTCCATGTTATCAGGCTGGTTACATGTTTGTTAGTAGTGCCTTTGTTACTACTGCACTCACGACTCTTGTGAGCTTCCGCTGGATGTCTGCACAGCTCTTGTCTTTCTCCTGAGTTAGCGTCATTTCTCTGATCGATTCAATACTTGATGATAGCTAGCGAGGCAACCCTAACATGGATGGTTTTCTCAAGATAATAAGCAGGCTTGCTCCCATTCTCACTCCAAGATATTCTCACTCCTCATAGTCCAGCGCGCCCTCATCGATAACGTCCATACTCACCCTGCCTGCAGCATTACCTACTATCTTATGCCGTCATGGTTACCGACTTTGCTGCCACAAGCGACCTATTTCTCTTACACGACCGTCTTTGCATTGTTGTAGAAGATTCACCTCGCACGCAGCACACGTCAGGTGACTCCGACCTGACCGCTGACATCAAATACAAAGACGGGCACCACCGACAAATGGCCACGCTCGAGAGGCCAAAGGATATTCAACCCCTTCGGTCGAGCGATTGTAAGCATGCGGAAGAGCAAGTCCGGCCAGTTTTCGTCCGTGCCGATCGACATCTACCCGAAGAGAGAGACACTGGCCGTTCGGAAATGGATTTTTTTGGTTGGCTTGACTTCGTGACCTTCCAGTCAATAACCGGCTGTGCACTCTGAACGCTAGAAAGCGAGGTTACTTGGCGCTGTCCGGCATCATGTCATACAGAGATAAGGAAGTCCGTAGTGAAGTAATATATAATTCAATGACCTTGCTTTCTTGAAGGTTTGCTGGCGAGCTACTTGGGGAATAGGCATAATGAATTACGGCCGGTTCCTGTGTCTGTGAGCAATAGCCTGAAACGCATATCGCTCTCAAGAAAGCGCAGGAACTAGAGTGTTGAACCACCAGGCGCAATTGGCATGAACCATGATTTTGTATGGTTATCAGACAGCATCAGTATCCAAACAGTCCGTTATCAATTGCGTCATCAATTATCCCAAGGCTGATCACGACTGGTGTGCCTAGGCGAGAAGCGGGCGCACGCTTGCGTCAGGAGAACGCATCTCAGGCCGGGTTTACGAGACACCTTGACGAGAGGGCTGAAGGCAGGACGATCTGAAGGCAGTCGAATGGTCAGCCGCGGTGACGGCCAGACTCGGGGTGATCTATCGCCGAAGGGCCTGGGTCTGTACTGGAAGAAATTGTGGAAGCTCCTGGCAAACCGGATCCCTCCACTCGGGGCCTTCATAATCAGCGTGGCTAGCCCAAATCCAACGTCAAACTACGCATAGAGAGCAACTCATGGCCTTGAAGTGCGGAGGGAAGTCTCGGCCAGATCGAACCGTGAAAGAAGGCTGTGCCCTGGGCGCAGGCGCAAGAAACCCAACCCAGCTCAGCGCGGTATAACGGTTAGTGGCTCAATGCTGAGTACACATACACTCCGCAACCAGTTTCTCCAGAAATTGCGCTAGCCCGTGCTCCGCTGTCTTACCTGGGCTTTGGTCACTAAATGCCTCTATTCAGAATCTCAATCTCAATCTCAAAAAGTGGCGGAGATCAGCGAATTCTTGACACTGAGAATAGTATGGCTCGTCGAATGCACGGGCTAACGCAAGTTCGAGTTTCGCGAGTTTCTACAGTATATCGCACCGTGCATGTCAACGATCAAGACATGGCCGGTTGGATGAACAGCCGAAAGCCGCGGCTGTTATCCAATTGTCACCCGGCCGGCGCCATTTGTGTACGGGCATCGCTTTTGAGGACCTGACTGGGAATGATCATATATGGAGGAATTTTCCCGTCGTCAGTTGCTCCAGCTCTTTGCGCAGCAGCGTGTCTGATGCAGCTAACCCACTACCATTTCCGATGGTGCCGGGATCCATGACCTGGGGAAGCGACAACGGTGCGGACAAACCTGATCTAAGCCAGCTTGTGGCAAAGTTCGTCCTTTTTCCGCCTCCAACGTCGCATGTGCCATGATCATTGACCGACGAGCAACGCCGACGCAACAGATATTCCGAATTCAACTTATTCGCCTCAAAACGGCAGCCCTAGTGCTACGGCGACTCTGGCCAGCTGCTTCGCGACACGCAATCAAGGTTCAGGTGTCTTCGCGATAGCTCATCAATTCGCGGAAACGGGGTATACGTCGCGCCGGTCGCGCCGCTTTGTTCACCGCCGTCGGAGCTGCGCTGGGATCGGCAGCATTGGCTGGTGTATGGTTGACGCCTGCCATCCGGCACCAACTCCAAAGCACCAACATACCCGTTCACTACCCATGCATTCGACACTGGCGTATGGGGGCCAGTTCACCCGATGCTACCCTACAGCTGCTGCTTGTTGCCAGCGTCGCATTCCCTCGTCTACACAAGCAAGATCAGCTCCATTGGGTGGCGGGCGCGTGATTCATCCTCTGGCCCAGGCCGAAGCCACAGCACCGCCAAACAATTGACAGAATTGACAGACTGGCACGGATGATTTCCCCCCCACCGTACGATTGTGGAAATATGCTTTCAGAGTTACAAGTTTGACCTCGCATGGGAAGATGCTGTCGGAAAGGGGCAGTATCAAGCCGGGCGAGCTAATTCGGCGCATGCGCGCGTCCGGCCGGTAGTGGTGCGTGTGGTCCTCGGTTCGACCGTCTCGTCGTTCTCCCCTCCCCGTAGCTCCAGGGGCAGAAGATCATTGCAGCGAGCTAGGCTTGGAGTCGGGGCCCCGCCTCAGATAACTGGGATCCTTTGTCCCCTTATCAGCGAGGCATCGATGTTTGACTCGCTTCGCAACCGCCTGGATTCTCT